GAGGGTAGCCTACACACGTGCCAAGAGCCTCGCGCGCACTCATTCACTAGCGCGGTTTGTGCACTGCTGTCATCCGACGACTCTTCTGCTCATCCTCTACCCCCTCGACCTTTTTGTTATTGTCGAATTATGCTTCTGTAAGTCCCTGTACATAGCAGAGCCAGAATGATTTCCGACGGTGGACACTATGTTGATGGCTCGTGGCTCCTGTCAATTCGCATCGATTCCCTCAATGTGGATCGACAGATGCGAGTTAAGGGTGACTGGTCAATTGGTCGTGTGCTTGTCGGCCTCATTGAGGGTCTAGCACATCCACAGAAGTTGGCTTGTGAAGCCAGTGATATATCTCTCACTCCTGGCCTAATAAACTCGGGATGGTCTGGTTTTGCACTTTGGTGGCCCTTAAAGAATCGGTGGATTCTCCAGACTCATGCCAGTCTGGATCAGTATGGACTGCAAGCAGATGCACGACTCCATTTCATTCGTGTTCACGGTCGTCTACGTGTTCAGTTACCTGATTTGCAGACTCGCGTATTCTGTGATGTAAATTTCACTGAACCCGTTTTTCGTGTAGTCATACTCATTTGTAAACATCTCGGTATCGCACACCCTGAAGAGCTCTCTCTGCAGTATACGGATTTTGATAGATTTTGCAGCCCCAATCAAGGAAGAGCACCATCCATTTGGAACGAGCAGTGGAGCACTTTGCCTGCTTCGGCCCGAAAATCCTTCAAGAAGCTTGCCTTCACTTCTCCATCAAAGACCGATTTAAGGCAGAAGAGACCGGCCAGTTGCGTTCTCCCCTCCATCGATCAAACTGACAAACCGACACGGAACGTCATACCAAACAGTCAAACCATGTCCCGTCGACCACAAGTATACGGTCCACCGAGAGTTAGAAATCGTCCAGTTAGTGGAAATTCTCCTTTGTCACCAACGAGACCCGACTCTATTTACGTGTCGCAGTCACTCTATGGAGCCCCTCTTAGCAAGCTGGAGATTTGTGACGATTCCAGCCTAGTTTCTAGTCCACAAATGACACTTTCTGAGGCGCTGATTTCTGGTGGCATCCAGCGCCATCGTGGTTTTTTCGCTCGTGCTCGTTTCTCTAACGCTTGGCTCGAACTAGGTCGTTCCTTGATGGAGCAGGGGATTCGCCCTTCTGCGCTTAATCTAGACGATACCTTGGACTCTCCCACAATCGATCCAGAAACCGAAGGAAAAGAAAACGGGGTGAATGGAGTGGAAACAGATAAGATTCCACTGTTGAGATTGCGATTTAAGTACAACGCCTTTTATGATTTGACACGCAAGAATAACTCCGTGAGGATTAACCAATTGTTCGAGCAAGCTCGATGGTCAGTAGTCTCGGAGGCGATCGAATGCACCAATGAGGAAGCCGCGCTTTTTGCTGCTCTACAATTGCAGGTAAGAACCCAACTTTATTTACTTTGAGTCAAAGTATAATTTTATTTCCAGTTTTGCATTAATATGGGACAATGTTAACGCATATTGCATTATGCCTTCATAAATGCTCCGCCACTCTAGTCATGAACCTTCAGTAAAGTGAATCCATCAGTCCAAAATTGTGGAATTGTGGTGCTTTGCCTCTCATGCCACCTCCATAACGCCAGCCCATCGTCTCTCTCTTCCATTCGAAATGGGGAAAAATACAGGTTTGGGCGTATTGTCCATGCAGTAAGGGGAAAAAAAGACGAGGATGTGTATACATTCAGCCAGCCTATCATGAGTAAGTGGCAAGGTCAGCGAGTTAGTCGTTTGACCTTGAACTAACCAATTGAGACGCGACCATTTAATCAACCATTAAAATAAACTCTTTTCACTTTCACTAGGATATTCTTAATCTGATTTTACGTAACATGATCTTTAGCCTGCTGTGATGAATGCTTAAGGAGTTAATGGGAACGAAATTCTTGGTTACACTTTGCCTCAACGTCATTCATAAAAAAATAATCATTCGAGTGCGATTAGTTACGCTTCAAAAGAATGCACTGCATTCTGTATTGCTTGACTCTTCTCTAGTGGATTATAAAATTGTCTAGGTGGTTTGGAATCACTTCACAGCACTCATAAAAGGAGTCTTTAACGCATTTTGGATTCTGTGGTGC